GGGGTCTCTATGAGTCGGAAACGACTCAACGGCACTTAACAACAACTAACAGGGGATTCTGGATATGGATACAGAGGGAGAAAGAAGAGGCAGAGTCGTCAGGATTCACTGACAACTCAGATGTGGGATTGAGAAGAAGAGAAGAATTAAGGAGGACACCATGATTTTTGGTCTCAATAGCAGAAACAATGGAGGTGCTGTTAACTTTTATGTAGAAGACAGCAACAGATAAGATGAGCAGGTTTTGTGGGGGAAATCAGGAGTTCAGTTTTAGACATGTTATGTTTGAGATGCCATGTTTGAAATCCAAGGGGAGATTTTGAGTAGCAGTTGGAGTCCAGGGGAGAAATATCAGCACATGGATGGCTGGATGGCCTAGAGAATGGATGAGACCACTAAAGAAGAGAGGGTGGTTAGAGAAGAGACAAGAGTCAAAAACTGAGCCCTGGGACCCTCTGACGTTAAAAGAGGAGATGAGGAGGAAGCAACAAAAGATTCTGACAAGAGTTGTCACAGCAGTAGGAAATTTGGAATTCTCTGTGAATGTAGGAAGCCAGTGGTGAATGGTACCCAGCATTGGTTCACCACAAATGTTGTTGTTATTATGTTGTTATTATCACCACAAATGTTGTTGTTATTATGTTATTATTATTATCAGCCCCACTCATAGTGACACTTCCTTGGGTTTCTGAGGCAGTATCATTACAGAAGTAGATTGCCCAACCTTCCTTCCGAGGAGTGACTGGTGGGTTTGAACCACCGGCCTTCTGGTTAGCAGTCAAGTGCCTTAGATACTATGCTACCAGAGCTCCGTCACCACAAGTAACTGACTCCTCTTTTTCCTAAGGAGCCCTGGTGGCACAGCGGTTAAAGTGCTCAGATGCTAACCAAAAGGTTGGTGGTCCAAACCCACTAGTCACTCTGCAGGAGAAAAATATGGCAATCTGTTTCCATTAAAATCTACAGCCTCAGAACACCATGGAGCCTTTCTATTCTATCCTATAGGGTTGCTATGCGTCAGAATTGACTGGACAGCAGTGGGTTTGGTTTTTGGTTTCTTGTTTCCTGATAAGATTACCAGGCTGGCTAATGGAGGCAATGCAGCAGATGAGGTGTGTTTTGCCTTTACCAAGGTAGTCCATAACTCCTTGTGACCTCCTTGTCATGAGAACAGATGGCTGTACACTTGGATGTGTCGGTAGGTTTCTTGGTCTATGGATTAGTGTCCATTGGAGAGAAGGTCTCTAACAGCAAACCATGGCACCTGGAAGTAATTATTCATCCATTGAACAACCAAATGTTTCTTGAGGGCATGTTATGCCAGGGCAAAGGGGTATACCCTACCTCACAAACTGATCCCACCCACTCCCCTGACCTACTCAGCCTTCCTAAAGGTGCCTGTTCTCTCCAGCTTCCGTGCCTGTGCACGTGCTCTGAGAAGACTCCTCCCTCCCTGTCTGTCACCTGGTGATCACCAATTTGTCCATTAGGACAGCATTAAACCAAACTTACTGCCATGGAGTCAATTCAATTCATAGCGACCCCTCCTTGGGTTTCCAAGGCGATATCTCTATGAAAGTAGATTGCCCAATCTTCTTTCCAAGGAGTGGCTGGTGGGTTTGAAGCATTAGATGCTGCTTTTTCCAGGAAGTCTCCCTTGTTCTCCTAACTCCTAAGCCCTTCCTCTGTGCTTCTAGATTCCAGGTCTAAATTCACAGCACTTACTACTCAATATTGTGATCCTGTCTCTACTTCCCCAGCCTAGGAGCATATCAAGGCAGGGACCCTCTGTAGTTTAGAGAGGTGATGCTGTGCTGTACTAAGCCAGAATGCCTATTTCCATATCTCATCCTCTTCACTGACTAGCTGTGTGAGCTTAGGCAAGGTATTCTGTCTCTCTGTGCCTCAGTTTCCTTATCTATAACATGAGGATGAAAATAGTAAGCACCTCATAGGAGTGTTGTAATAATTAAATGCACTAATTTGTAAAAGTTTAAAACAGCTCCTGGCAGACAGTTTTAGCTGGCTTCTGTTAGCTACTTTTTTTTTTTTTTTTTCAATTTTGGTGTACATATATAGATATAGATACACACACACATATGAAAACATTTGCCATTTCAATTTTTACAGTTCAGTGACGTTATGTTCATGTCGAGCATGCATCACCACTATTTGTTTCTAACTTTTTCTATTACCCTTAACAGAAACTCAATGTCCCCTAAGCAATGATGCTATTATTTTATTAATAGAAGTATATGCTCCAGGCCACGCACATAATGCTTAGTAGGTTTGTTCATTAAATAACTCAGAGATGGAAAAACTTTGGCACGAGAGATGTTGGAGACTACTTATTTTCCTTCCTCTTTCAAAAACCCTAGCTCCTTGGAAGCTCATGCCATCTGACTATACCAGTAAGTTTGTCCCTGTCACCCACTGATGACAGTTTGTCCTAGTCACCCTATGTCATTGATCAAAGACTTCAGCTCTGAGTCTCCAACCTCTCTTCCTTTCCAAACTCCTATCATTGTCCTAAAGAGCCCTGGTGGTGCAATAGGTAAGCACTTGGCTGAACCCACCACAGGAAAAAATGCCTGGCTATTATCTCTCTTGTGAAAATTATAGCTTAGGAAACCCTGTGAGGCATTTCTTCTCTGTCATATGGGGTCGTTGTGAGTGGGGATTGACTCAACAGCACACAACAACATTATTGTCTTTGGTGCACTTTACTGTCCACACAAACCTGTGGAACACCTCTCAAGGCCTCACAATGGGGGCCTTTCAGGCAGTTGAGAGAGCAAAGAATTTGTCAGGTACTAAACAAGGAATGCTTTCATCTTCACCCTCAGGGAAGACTTAGTCTCCCTGAATTTGAAGGGCACGCCAGGGGTGAGACTACTCTTCTCATCCATTGTATTTCCACCCCCTCATCAGCACACACAAAGGCAGGATTCCTGGGCAGATGCCAGCCTTCCTCCCTGACTTGTGTATTTCAGGGCTGCTTGGTAAAGTTAAAGCGTGTGTATCTCATTACTCTCTAGCCTCAACCAACCATAAGGGATTCCCTTCCCAAAGTTACATAAATTCAGGCTAAGTTGTCATCAACTGTAAACACTTTGGTAGTACAATTCATGCCGGCCTCAGCTCCTTGTCCTCTTCATTGCTGGTGGGTTTTCTGGTGCTGTCTCCTAGGGTTACACTCTGGAACTTGTCCTCAACAATGATGGCAACTGGACAATGGTCCTATAAGTTTATGTGAATGATCAGAATTCCCAGGTGAATAGTAGAGCTGACAAGGGGCAAAGTTGTGGTCACTGCTTGGTCACAGCCAGCTACCCAGAGGGACCAAGTAGTTGAACCTGTGGGCTTCGGACCATAGTCACAGGGGACATCAGGCTCAATTGGCATAACATACTATACAAAACATTGTTCCACCTCCTACTTTGGCGAATAGTGACTGGGATCTTAAAACTTAGCAAGCTGCCATCTAGATGCAACGATGTGTCTCTCCTCGTCCAGAGCAAAAAAGAATGAAGAAAACCAAAATTCATGGAAACAATTAGTCCTAGCGACTGGTACACCATCCGATCTGCAGCCTATACAACTAAGAGACCAGAAGAACTAGATGGTGCCCGGCTACCACTATCGTCCACTTAGAAGGGGATGTACGTAGGAGATCCTTCATAGAGAGGGAGAACAATGTGGAACAAAACTCAAAATCATTTGGAGTAAAAAAAAAGGTGGGGACCAGGTTTGCTGGTCTGAGAGAGCCTGGTGGAACCACTGAGACTATGGCGCCTAGCTGCCCTTCAGGTCTGGAATTGAACCCACACCTGTGGTTTTCAGCCAAACAAAATACAGGCATATGAGTTAAACATTTACCTCAAGTAGATACACTCCTTGGAGAGAACAATTATGGGAGAAAGAAGGGCTGCTTATGCACAGGGAGACAGCTTAGGGGGCAGGAGTGTATGGAGGGATGGACACTGGGAAGAGGTAACTATGGGGAGGAAGTGGGAGGGGAGCTGTTGCATTGTGGTAAACTGTGGTCAATGACATGAGACAAAGTATATGTGAACTGCTGTATGGAAAGTGAATTTGCTCTGTAACTCTTCACCCAAATCACAATTAAAAAAAAAATAATAATAATGACAACACCCTCCACAGTCTACTTCAAATGCTCTTCTGTCTACCATATCTTGTCTTCCAAAATGTTACTCAGCTGGTACCACTGCTATAATCTTTGACTTCAAGGAGACCTCCCATTCATTGAGTCCACCCTTGTCTCATTCTCCAGTTCCCCCTGGGTTTCCTGCTTTCCTTGGCAAGACTAGGTTCTGTAGTCCATTTTATATTTTTACTCCCTTACAAGAACCCTCAACTGCCATTACCAGCCCTCCCTCTGTTAAACCAACTTGGCAAAACCCTGGTCCTAGATGAACCCTTCCATTTGCTTTTTTCATGCTTGCTTCTGAGGAGCTGCTGGAGAAAAGCACATAACCAAAGCCACAGGCTTGCCTTCCAACTCACAAGCTCTGATCCTCAATCTACACCGCTTCACTGTCCTGTTTCTCTAGTGGGCTTCCCTTCCCGCTTCCAAGATGACTATTCTGTCCCCTCAGGCCTTCATACTTCTTCTCCATCCTCACTCAGCTGATGATCTCACCCCAAGCTTCATTAAAAAAATCAGTCATCAGAGCTGTGCTGCTTCATCTTCCCACATCAAACCTTCGGGTCTACCTGCTCATGGGCCCCCTTGTTTTTCCAGCCTGTGTTAGGTGAGCAACATCCCTCCCCTTCTCAGAGCTCATGGTCCTAGAGGCCTGAACTTTTTTTTTTTAAGTTGGTCAGTCCAAGGGAGATACTCTGCTGGCCACTGCCCTGTTTCATGCCCCTGTGGAAAGATGGAGGGATGCCAGGCAGTCCAGCATGGGGGGTAAGCTAGGGGCCACCGGGACTTCAGGAGCTTTGTCCTCCCACAGGGTCCATGCTCCCCTAATTACCTTCAGCTGTGGGGAGAAGGAGAAGAGAAATGTCTCGCCGGTGCCATAGAAGCCTTTGCTCAATCGGATAGCTGAGGAGGAGAAGGCTCCAAACATCTGGAAAACAGAAGAGTTTGCAGTTTGCAGCTGGAAGGGAGTTGGGGAGGGAGGGTTGCTCTGGCAACCTCCACTCTCCAGGCTTGGCATGTAGGCCTGTCCTACTGAGGCCCTGCCTAGGGAACTTGGGCAGAGCTGGGGGACTGGGAAGCCTCAGTGGACCCATCAGCATGCATCCTTCCCCTTAATATGCCCCAAGGAAGAGCTCTTGTTGGCATCCTCCTCCAGGCCTTCAAGTCCCTCCTACTTTTTTCTTAAACGTACTTGTTTTCTATAAGTAATCCTCATATAAAGATAAGAAGTTATAGACATGCAAAACAAACTCATTGCCATGGAGTCGACTCTGACTCATAGCAGCCCTCCCATGGGTTTCTGAGGCAGTATCACTACAGAAGTAGATCGCCCAATCTTCCTTCCAAGGAGTGGCTGGTGGGTTTGAACCGCCAGCCTTCTGGTTAGCTGTCAAGTGCCTTAGCACCATGCCACTGGAAAGAGAAAAAATCAAGTCACTTCAAATTCTCCTCTTCCTTCCCAGGATAACCACTCTTAACATTTTGGTGCATTTTCTTCTAGTGTCTATTTACTACCGACATATACATATTTTTATTAAAAAATGAGATCATATTATTTATTTGCTGCTTTGCTCTAACTTTTTATTACAAAAATTTCAAACATACAGAAAAAAGCTCAGTACTACTTCGACCTAAGTTCAACAATTGTAAATATTTTTGCCATATTTATTTTACCTCTCTCTTTATATATATTTTTTGGCCCACTTGAAATTAAGTTGCAAACATTTTACCCTTAAATAGTTCAGCTCCTAAGAATCAGGACTTCCTCCTATATAACCAAAATACCATGGTTACATCTAAAACAATTAACACTAATTCCATATTATTTAGTATCTAATTCATATTCCATTTTCTCCAGTAATCCAAAGAGAGTCTTTCCTATCCCACTTTGAAAACAAAAAGAACACTTTCAATAGCTGAGGTTCCATGTCGTTAATTTTATTGCCCACTCAATATTTCACCATATGGAGGGGCTGTAAATTATTTAGCCAATCTCCTCTTGTGGTGGGACAGTTAGATGGCCTGCAGTTTTTCACTGTTATAAACAACGCTGAGTGATCTGATCTGATCATTGGGGGTTAGTTATGGAGAATTAAGTTTTGGCTCAATAAAAGGAGAAACTTCTTCGTGGTCAGAGAGATGTTATGCCACAGAAGGGGCTCTGTCCAGTGGTAGTGAGCTTCCTGCCCTTAAAGGGAAGTCCTTCCATCAGCATCCCGGGGAGGGACCTCCTGCCCAAGTGGGAGGGCCTCTAGGGCCCTGAGATCCTTCCTAGCTCTAGTGTGTTTCTTACACAGAAGAGCATTTGAAACCAGCTTCCAACCCTCCCCACTTCCTGGAGTGCTGCCTGGAATTCCATCAGTGATGAAACCAAATGGACTTAGTGCACTGCCTCCTGGAGGCTCCTCTTGTAAAATGCAGGAGCAGCTGTGGCTGCCTTCTCTCTGGTCTTCTGCCATTGATTCCCTGCTTAAAATCCTTCCACAGTGTCCTATGCTTCTGAGGATAAAGATGCTGTTTTACATTTATGGTCAAATGTCAAATGTTTACAGTGAAACCTATAAGAGCCATAACTTGATGGGACTGCCTTGTTTTTTCAGGTCTCACAAGTTTTCCACCTTTGACAAAGTGAAATCTTACTACTTTTCTTTCTTCTTTATGATGTTTGGTAAGTATGGACACTTTAAGGGGAGCTTTGGTGGTATAATGCCTAAGACTGCTAACCAGAAGCCTGGAGGTTCAAACCCACTAGCCACTCCTCAGAAGGAAGGTTGGGCAATCTACGTCTGTAGTGATACTGCCTCGGAAACCCAAGGAGGGGTCACTATGAGTTAGATCCGACTTGACGGCAGTGAGCTTGTTTTTTTTTTTTTTTTAATGCACAGTTTATAATATAAAACCTGTATACACATGGTAGTTAGGTGCAAAGTGCCATTTGGTCTTCTTCTGGCTTATAAAAATGGTGTCCCAAATCTTAGTATAGATTATTAGCAAGCTTCAACTCTTTTGTATGGCAGAGATCTTGTTTTCACCTTCCAGTTCTTCCATCCCTGCCTGGGTCATGAAGTCTGCAATGTTTCTCTCTAGGTCACCAATGCAACTCATGCCATCAGTTCTTCCAATGATCTGGTCAGACATAGTCTGAAATTTATTTTGCCTCTGTTGCAATAGTGTCTGGACCACTGAAGTAAGATCCTACATGGTCTTGGGATTGGTCTTGGCCATTTGCCTGGTTCCCAAACTCACCTACACTTCCATGTGTCCTCTTACCACTTTTTTATCACTCTCTATTGGTGGAAAATATTTGAATTTTCTGACAGGCTTCTGCCTTGCACAGATTGCAGCTTTTGCAGGTTTTACTGTTCAGGTATGCATTACTTAACGTACATGATACATTCTATGAAACAGAACATTATGTGATTTGGATGTTGTGCAAACACCATATTAAAACCTTATGAAAACTGTCCACTCAGTACCTCACTATGTGGAAGGGCTGTAAATCATTTAGCCAGTCTAAACCAGGAGCCCACTTCTAGTCACCCACTTTGCCACTCCGCACCCACTGCCAATGCTCCCTCCAGTGATGTTTCCTCCAGTGAAGGCTAGAGGAACTGGTTGAGGCAGCGGGAACGGAGCAAGAGGAAGTGAGCAGGGAAAGAGCTGAGCTGTACCTGCCCTGCCTGCTGTTCTGCTTCCCTGAGCAGCAGGGGCAGCTGCTGCCACTGCTTTGGCTGCCTGCCTGCCAGACAAAGCCCAGGAGCCCGTGCCCAGAGCCATGTCCTCCGCTTCACCTGCCTGTATCCTACCTGTGGTCCAGTGCTGCAGGAATCTGGTTTTGGGTCTAAAACCATTAGGGGGAAATAATAAACAAAAGGAGAGCAATTTTACCTTAAAAAAAAAAAAAAAAAACACCTTCTAGAACCACTGATGTATACATGGTCACACATTGTCCAAACTGAAGTTAAGCAACACATTTGCTTATTTGCTTAATGTCTGGCCTCTTTGCCTCAATAGACCATTAACTCCAAAAGGGCTGGAACTATTTCTGTCTTTTCCTGGCACATACCAAAAAACCCAACCTGTTGCCATTAAGTCGATTCCAACTCATGGCAACTCCATGTATTACAGAATAGGCCTGAGCTCCATAGGGTTTTCTTGGCTGTAATCTTTACAGAGCAGATTGGCAGCCCTTTCTCCCATGGAGCTGCTGGGTGGGTTGAACCACCAACCTTTAGATTAGCAAGGTATTCTAAATCACTTGTGCCATCACATTGAAGGTGTTAAATATGCACGTGTTGAATGAATGAATGAGTGGTGAATGAATGAATGAATAAGGAATGGCACTGAGCAGGGTAGGTGTCAATGCCATAAGTGTCCATTATAGTGACTTAGTGTATCACCTCTGCCCTGTCATCCCTGAGGCTGCCTTGGGCAGGACCCATCAGTGTCTGGTTGGGAGCCCTTGAGCCTCAGGTTGGGGGCCTTGGCCCAACTCACCTGACCATCCTGGTCCCTCAGCACTAGCAGCACTGGCCCACTGTGGCCTTCCATCTGCCGATACAGGCTCCGCAGACTGAAGCCGTCCCTCGCCGTGCAGAAGGCCAGGCTCCAGGAGTGTCCGGTGACTCTCGCAGGGAGGTGGAGGCTGAGCTGGGGATAGGACTGGAGATGATCAAGGGAATCTTCCTTCTCCCACCCTTCTTCTGGTAGAACCTCAGGGCTCAGAAAGACTGGGGTTGAACAGCCACTACTCACACAGGCAAGATGCTTTATAGATTATAGAGTGATTTCTGTTTCCAGGGCACTTCCATGACTATTAGCATAGCCCTTGGAGATAAGGGTTATTGTTCCCATTTGACGGATGAGGAAACTTTGCTGAGGATGGTGACACAACTTTCCCAAGGCCTACATTGGGAGTAAATGGCAGAGGCAAGATTCAAACCCCCATCTGTTCTCAAGACTCTCTCCCCTTGGTCACCCTGGCCCCAGAAGCTGAGGAATAGATGAGATGCTGATTCCCTCTATCTATCCCTCCCCATCTTTTCCCCATTTCCTGCCCCAGCTTTAGCTCTACTTCCCAAGGACTGGTTCTGTTTAAGAATTAGCTGCTTTCATTATCTCCTTAACCTCCTGGCTTGGTGAAGAGAGCAGGGCTCGCATTATCAGACCAATTTAGAAGAAAGAGAAGGGAAGCCCAGAGAGAGGAAATGATTTCCCCAAAGTAACACAGTGAATCAGGATCAAAGCAGGAGTGGCTCCAAGTGTCCTGGACCTGGTTATGGTAGAGCAAGAAGGTGAGTCCCTTAGACTTAGGACTGAAGTCCTTGGGTCGTGGGCGGTGCCCGAACCTGCCTGATCTCCGAGGCACCTAGCACCTGGCTGGCTTCTGAAAGCTGAGTTTCCTTGGGATCTTCAGGAGCAGGGACTAGGGCTGGGGCTGGAGCTGCCTCCTCCTCTTTTGCCTCCTCCTTTTCTTCCCCAGACAGGGCATCATCCACCTGGCTGGGCTGTGGAGATACAAAGAGGCCTGGTGAGTAAGGAGCAACATAACACCAGCTTCCACATCTCCTGAGTCCCAGAGCCTTAGGCCACTCCACCACTCCTGGTTCAGACCGCTTCCCAGCCCAGCCAGCCCAGGGCAGGCTGGGAAATTTCCACAGACAGACAAGACTGCTGCTGCTTCCAGCCTGCTACTTTCCTTGCTCCTGGTAGCCCAGGGTCAGAGATAACGCCCCTTCAAACACACACACACACACAGAGGGCTCATCAGATGGGGCCTGGGCCCAGGAGCTTTTCTGCCTGTTTTCTCTGGATCCCAAGAGGTCCCAGGGATCCAGTTCCAAGCCTGAGAGTAAAAGAAAAAGACAGGTGGCAGCCCAACCCTGTGAGCTGAGACTGTGTTTGTATATTAAATAACAACAACAACAGTAATAGTTGGCACTGGTACAGCACATACTTGGCTGCCTTTGGTGAGTATTTGATCTCTTTGAATTTCCCCAATGAGTGCCTAAGGCATTTGACTGTTAACTAGAATGCTGGCAGTTCAAACCCACCAGCCACTCTTTGGAAGGAAGGTTGGGCAATCTACTTCCTCAGTGATACTGCTTGGGAAACCCAAGGAGGGTTCGCTGTATGAGTCGGATCTGACTCGATGGCAGTGAGTTTGGTGTTTTTTTTTTTTTTTGGTCCTCATTTTACAAAGGAAGAAAATGAGGCCCAGAGGAGCCCCTGCCAAAAACCGAAATGATAGGAGTGTAAGGGTGAGTAGATTAATATGTGTGTTCATCAGTGTGAAGGTATATACTGACTTAAAATAGATTTGTGTAGGTATTGAGTGTAAATGTGTATGTTTATATGTCAACATGTTTGTGAGTGTGAGTTGGGATTGTGTAAATAGAAGTGTGTGTGTCTGTGGGTATGTGGTTGGTATATTTAGTCATACATTCATTCATTCATTCAACTGAGCTCCCACTCTGTACCGATATGTGTGTTTTTACTGTCTGTGTACACACACATTTACATTGTATGAACACACACAATGACTTCCAGGACCTTTCATAGGAAGGAGAGATGTCCTGGGGTACAGAAGGATAGGAACCCACTTTTCTGCCTTCCTCTATTGCTCAGGTATAGGCCTAAAAGACAGGGCCTCTCCTAGCTGTTTGAGGTCTCTGGGGAGAACTCTCTCTGACACCCACTTCAGCGAGGAAGGGATAGAGGGAGTGGTCTGTCCCGCTTGAAGGTCACAGGATAGTGACCTTCAGTAAGGTCCAGGCTTCCTGAGTCAGTCCCCATTCTGAACCTCAGGCCAGCTGAGGAGGGACCAGAAATGGGATAAATCACCTGTCTGCCTCCAGCCCTATCCCAGGGCCCAGCTAGGCCAGAGATCCTCTTTCCTTTTATAATCTCCTTAACTTCCTGGCCTAATGAGGAGAGCAGGGCTAGTAGTATTACTGGCTTTCAGCCCTAGCCCACAGCCCAAGCACACAGACCCCTTACCAGCCGAGTGTAACGCCAGCGGAGACCTTTCATTGTCCTGTCCCAGTGCAGCTACAGCAGAGTCCAGTCCACAGCCCTCCCAGGGGAGGAAGCACCACTGGGTGGGGCCTAAAGATGAGAGGGAGAAGCCTGGGGCACACCCAGCTGGCTCCATTCCCACCCAGCTGCCCTTTGCTCCCCACACCTGTAATTCCCAGGCTGAGTTGATCCTGGGTAGGTTTGTGAGGTCAGCTACATTTGCAGTTAGCATCTAATACATGTGAGCCGTACACAGTAAATTCTACTTCTGATTCACTTCTTCCTCTTCTGGCAGCCTGGCCTCAAGACTGTGGTCCTGTGGACAGATGCCCCAGCTCTAGGCCGGGGGTCCAGACCCTCTGGTTTGCTGTGTGAACTTGGATGACCCCCTTTGCAGTCTTGGGCCTCAGTTTCCTCACATGGACCAAATCACCTAGAGACCCTCACAGTACTAAAAGCCAGTAGTGCAGCTCCCTCTCAAAGCTGATGAGTGCATTATAACAGAAGCTTGCCATGCCTAGACCAAAGGTGATTTGTTATTTTTTTCAACAGTTTTATTTTTCTAATTAAAAAGTAATACATGTTAATTATAGAAAATTTGGGGAAATCCAGAAAAGAATAAAGAAGAAAACAAAAATATTTATAATTTCATCCTTCAGACATAAGCATTCAACCTTTAAGGATATTTTTTCCAGTCTATTACATTTATTTCATATATATATGTGTGCACACATTTATAAACTGATAATACCATATAAAATTTCATAACTGGTTTCCCCATTTAAAAGTGCAGTTTTTCTAATGACATTAAGTATTTTTTGAAAGTATGATTTTTAATGGCTGCATATTATTTCATCAGAGGGTATACATAATTTATTGTCCTACTGTTGGACACTTTGCTTCTAATTTTCTGTGTGCATAAGCAATGCCATAATGAAGTTCAGACCCACCAGTGACCCCACGGGAGAGAGACCTGCTGATCTGCTCCCATAAAGATTGCAGCCTAGAAAACCCTATGGAGTGTTCTACTCTGTCACATAGGGTCACTGTAAGGCAAAAGTTGACTTGATGGCACCAAACACTAACAGCATAATAAACTTCCTTTTTCATAGTTCTCATTATATCCTTTATGGTATATTTCAAAAGTTGAATGGTGGGTTTAAGGGCATATATGTTGTTCTTGGTAAATATTTCCAATAAAGCTTCCCTGGTGTTTAGAGCTAACTATGTCCAGGTACCTTTAGGGCATCTCAAGGAAATATCTTTCTGATCAAGTTTTGCATTCTTAAACTATAGACAAAGAAACTGTGGCTCAGAAAGTAGAAGGGACTTAGCAGGGTCACAGAGCAGTATAACACCAGGGTTAAGATCATAACCTCTGAAGTCAGGGATTTTTTGCCACTTACTTGCTGTGTGACCTTGGGCAAGTCACTTAACATCTCTATGCCTCAGTCTCATTTGTAAAATACTCATGGACCTGTTGTAAGAGTAAATGAAGATAATGCTTGACCAGCAAGGATGCTAAGCCAGACAGCGGTCCTCTTGTGCTTGATTTGGTGAGGTAACCCACTGTACCTGGTATTTGGTGAGCACTGGTAAATGACCACACTTATTACTATCTCCTCTATTGCCTCTTAGTGAGCACTGGTGGCGTGATGGATAAGACATTTGGTTGCTAACCAGGTCAGCGTTTTGAACCTATCAGCTGCTCTGCAGGAGGAAAATTAGGCAGTGTACTTCCATAAAGATTTACAGCCTTGGAAATCCAGTGGGAGTTACAATGAGTTGGAATCAAGTCAATGGCAGTGGGTTTGGTTTTTGGTTTATACTGCCTCTTTGAGAGATAGTAGCCTGCCAGTCTCTATCTGGGTGCCTCTGGGACAGGCAGTGTCTCAGTCACTCACAGGGGTGAAGGGTTCTGTGGGGGAAGCGAAAGGTGGAACTTTGGAAGGATGTACTCACGCTGCTGAGCCCTGGGCCTCTGGCAACCTTCTCCAGCCTGTCCAGCACAATGATTTCCTCATGGAATCTCCCCAGAGAAGGGGCCGCACCAAAACTGACCCTGCTCACCTGGGAGACCGCACACAGCAGTTTGGCTCTGAACCTCTGCCCCTGGCGTCAGGCCATCCTCCCTGGCTTTTATACCTGCCTGAGGGCTGTAAGCCCTGGCGCCTTGCCAGTCCCAGTTCCAGCTGGGAAGGCCTGCCAATGATTACTATACATCAGGAACTCAAATCCCACAAACACACACAAACAAGACCTTGCCACCCCTATGGCCCTCAGCTCTGCCCCAACCAGCCCAGAGTGGTGGAGGACATTGGGTCCTTGGCTCTTACCTAGCACCTCTCACCAGAGCTACTAAGTCCCACCTTGTACCCGAAGCCCACCATTAAAGACCCTTCCCTTAAAGTTCAAGCTTATGGGATGCAAATACTACAGAAAAGGGTAATGCTTGTGGAGTTTTCCATCAGTCACCTGAGCTGCAGGAAGGACAGGGCTGGGAGCTCTGCTCCTGCTGGGTGGGTGGCTGGAGGGAAACCCCCCTCCTGTCCCAGGCCTTTGTTTCCCCTCTTTCAGATGGGAGGGTGATGCCTTTCTCAGTGGGCAGTTTGACACAAGGTGAGATTGTGCACAGAAAACCCAGGGTTTGGCATGCAATAGACACTCTGTCTATGGCAGTTACTTTGTCCCTGGCACATAACAGGAACCCAATGATCACAGAACCTCAAAGCTAGAAGGGACTTCAGCCAGTCCTAGGGCAAGTGGTTTCCACTCATGGAAGGACTTCCCTGGACAATTTGCCCTCCAAGTGGCCATTCCTCTGTCTCGTCACGAAGTGCCCAATTCCTCATGGGTGGCCTACTCCATATTCATACGGGTGAAAGGGACCCTGTCCTTTAGGGAGGACTTGGGTCACTAGATACACCACTCATAGCCAGGTCTCCTGGGAATGCCCCTTCAGGACCTATATTATGGGGAAAACAGGTAAGTGAAAGGCCCTGTTGCTACCTCAAACATGGCTGTTACAATATGTGTTTAGGTTATAAATGGCTCAGGTATCACACGCTTGGCCCTACCTGTTCCTCAAACTCTCCCCTACCCCATTTCCCTGAGCCACTGGGTATTTTGAAAAGCAAGTGATGTTTGTGTTGACATTCCATTTGTTGTCCAGGAAACCTCAGTGTCATGGATTGAATTGTGTCCCCCCAAAATATGTGTCAACTGGGCTGGGCCATGATTCTCACTGGTTTGGCAGTTATGTAATGATGTGATGTGGTAGTTATGTAATGATTCCCCATGATGTGATCTGATGTGATAAGTTGATCAGCTGTAAAAGGATTAGGATGGGATGCAACACCCTTAATCCCATCACAGCTCTGATCTATGTAAGGGGAGTTTCCCTGGGGTGTGGCCTGCAACAGCTTTTTATCCTTATAGAAAGGAGCAGAGAGAGGGGGACCTACTACCACCAAGAAAGAAGAGCCTGGAATGGAACGTGTCCTTGGACCCAGGTTCCCTGTGCTGTGACCCTCTTAGGACCAAGAGACACACAGAGAGAAGATCTTCTAGAGCTGACACCCTGAGTTTGGACTTCAAGCCTCCTAAACTGTGAGACAATGCATTTCTGTTTGTTAAAGCCATCCCCTTGTGGTATTTCTATTACAGGAACACTAGATAACTAGAACACACACACAGTAAGCAACCTGGCAGAAACACCAATTGCCAAATAACAGGTCCCTCTTGAGGGGTCCAAGGATGGTGCAAACAGTTAAGTGCTCAAGTACTAGCCCATAGGTTGGGAGTTTGAACCCACCCAGAGGCACTTGGGAAGATCTATCAATCTGTTTCTGAAAGATCAAAGCCTTAAAAACCCTATGGAGTGCAGTTGTACTCTGACACACATAGGGTTGCCATCAGTTTGAATCCACTCAGTGGTAACTAACAATAGGCCCTTTTAGGATCTTTGATGATGGGATTCTAAGTGTTAGAGTGGCATCACAGCTCTGCCATGCAGTTTGCCTTCTCCTTCCCCCTCACCGAACAGCAAGCTAGCTCCTTAATCATTGCAGTCATCATCACCAGGAAGTAATTCAAATGTCCAATAAAAAGGGGGACAAGTTGGGTGATCCAGGGAGCAGTCATTCAATGGTTTTTTTTCTGAGTATTCAGTCCTATTTGCAGAGAATTTATACATGCATGGGAAAAAGCTCCTGTTACTTGTTAAAGGAAAAAAGAAGGGTATAGACTTGTATATGCAGTATGATGTCAGCTATGCAAAACAAATTTGAAAACATCACAGAGAAATTGACTAGAAGAAAGGGAGTATACTGGAGTTCCCAGGATGACTGGCTTCACTTTGAACTGCAGATGGGTACGTAACATGGCCTGGCATCCTCCCACACACATCTTGGGAAGCTCAAGATCCACTCTCTGAGAGCACTATTATACATGGTCTTCACCCTCCTCCCAACTCTCACTCATTCACCCCCTCACCCTGAGCTGACAACTTCATTCTTCATTGAGAAAACAGAAGCCATCATCAGTCACTTCCTCACCTTCCCACCTCCAAACTGACAGACTTATCTGCATCTTACCCCTTTCCTCTGCCTTCCCTCCAGGACAATGGGGGAAGGCTCCCTGTCCCTTTAGAAGGCTAGCCCCCATCCCTGCACCTATCCCTCTGCCTCCTGTCCTTACTCCTCTCTCCTGCCTCTTGCTCCTCCTCCCTTTTGACCTCCCAGCCCCCTTCACAATTGCTCCACTTCTCTTCTCCCTTTACAGCCACACTTCACAGGAGAGTTGCCTACATTCTGCCTCTACCTCTTGCTCTCTCTTCAGTCCACTCTCTTTGGCTTGTGTCCCCACCACCCCACTCAAACAGCTCTTGTCAAGGTCCTATGAGCTTCCATGTCACACAATTTAGGGAACCTTTCTTTATTCTCATATTTCTCCTCTAGCTTCTCTGGATCTTGGCAATGAAGATACTTCCTCTTTGTTGATACACTCAACTGCCTTGGCTTCCAGAC